TAATTATTTGCATTTTTAAATTCGGTAGAGGAAACAACATTTTGGGACGTCTTTTATACCCTTTATTGATTGGTATTTTCTCAGTTAATACTGTTCCACAGGGTTCCCTTTTTGTTCGCAATGTGTGATTTGGAAATTCTACATGTTTACATTTAAATTCTGTATCACCAATTTCAGCAGTATTGTATAATGTATGGCAATTTGTACATGCCGTAAAAATTTTTGAGCATTTATTGAATTTAAATAGTTTTTTTGCGACATATAAAGAGGATGGAAAGTCAGCAAATCTTGTCCTGTTGGCATCCTCCAGTACTTGGCGAAAAAATTTGATCAAGACGTCGATAGACACGTCTGACAAACGAAATCTTGATTGGTATTTAAAAATCCATATTAAAATCCATGAATCTGCATAATCGATAGTAGTATCGGAATATTTAAATTCTGTATCATCGTCAAAATCGGGGGCAGTAAATTGAATTTCATCGTCACTATCTCTGTCGTTTTCACTACTTACAATTGATTTTGTACTTTCATCATCATTTGAATTTTCATCACACTGATTTGCATCCGGTTCTTGAAATCGATCTTGTCTTCGTCTAGCATAGTGTTCAAAATCAGCTTCATAATTATCATCACCAGACGATTCTTGTTCCGATCCAATTTCTTTTCTTGATGATCCTTCTATAATAGGTTCATCAATTTCCATTGCGATAAGTTGCTGGCTAGGAGTCATGTTAGGTTCAGGATTAGACAAGAGCATATTCATATTTGCCGAGGGAACAAATCCGGAAACATTAAAAGCTAATTGAGTTTCTAATTCTTCATGACTCTTTTTTGTCCTTTCATCCACTATTTTCCCATTGCATGTTTTACAGTAACATGGTAATTTATTTCTAATTTTCGTGGACATTTTATGGATAAACTATTTTTAAAAATCCAGGGTTGTACTGATAATATTTTTGTGAAAATCAGCAATGTGTCACGTGGTTTTATCGATTAAATAGATAAATAAATTTACCCCTATTTTGCGTTTAATACTTCGCGTTCTTTTATACAACTTTTGTAAGTATATTATTACCAGTTAGTCTGTCTAGAGCTGTTCGGAAACTTTTAGTTATTACGCGCCTGGGCTTTTACTTTCAAAGCCTTGGCTTTATTATGTAATCAAACTTCTTTAGTTTGTTACATACCGGGCTTTTGCCCAGGCTTTTTTATGTAACCGAACTTTTATCCACTTACCCGTTCAGAAATTTCAAGTATCTTGGCTTTTACTTTCAAAGTATTAGCTTATTATGCAACCAAATATTTATCCATTTTATTTTTTAGGTATTGTTATGCGTCTAGGCTTTTACTTTAAAAGCCCTTATTTTTTTGTGTATGAAACTGGGCTTTATCTTTTGTCTTTTCGGAAGCCCGGGTCTTTTTTGCGCACCCAGACTTTTATCCGCACATCCGTGGGCTTTTATAGCCCCTGGGCTTATACGTTCACACAGAGCTCAGTATAATGAAATTGTTATATTGAACTCCAAGCATTAAAGATGAAATCAATATACTTATTGGCTGACTTTTATTATTTATTTTATTTTATTTTATTTTATTTTTTATTAATAGAAACGGACAGATATGTAAGTGATTTCTGTACTAGTTTACTACCAGTTACTTATTTACAATTATTTATTATTAACTTTTTTTAAACAGGGCAAGTCAGCAAAAAGTTGAGTCAGATACGTCAGTGATACCTTATACCGATTCTGATGACTCAATATCAGATTCGTTAAGAGAGAAATATAAAGGGTATAGGCGTAAAAAAGGTGCATAATGAATTTGTAATGCATATCCAAGAAATTTTTATAAATCAGTCTGTCACATACAACATTATAGGCCTGGAAAGTACCAAAGTTAGTTCTTCGAAAGGTGCCGAACCTAGCAGTAACATTACCAGAAAAAACAGAAAAAAGTTAAGGAAAAGTCAGCGGGTTTCTGATAGCGAAGATTCAGATGATGAAGTCAAACAAGGGGATTTAAGAAAAAATTGTCAGATTTCTGATAACGAAGATGCAGATAATAAAATTAGACGAAAGGATTCAAGAAAAAATTGGTGGGTTGAAGATGCGAATAATAAAGTTAAACGAAAGGACTCCAGAAAAAATCAGCAGATTTCCGATAGCGAAGATGTAGATGATGATGTCAAACAAGGGGATTCAAGAAAAAATTGTCAGATTTCCGATAACGAAGATGCAGATAATAAAGTTAGACGAAAGGATTCAAGAAAAAATCGGTGGGTTGAAGATGCGGATAATAAAGTTAAACGAAAGGACTCAAGAAAAAATCAGCGAATTTCTGATAGCGAAGACATGATAATGATAACAAGCCGAAAAAGATCAAAAAATCGACAACTGAATTCCGATGAGGGTAAACGAAAAAGGGCAGAAGAAAATAGTAGTTTTGAAACTGAAGAAGAAAGTATTGAAAAAGAAAGTCGCCGACATTCCAATAGACCGTTGATTAATGCTGAATCCGTTGGATTCAAGCGGTACAATAATTTGAACGAAATGGAAAAGGATTTGAAAGAAGCTTTACGTTTAAATAAATTCTACAGTTATTATTGTTTATTTTTGTTATACTTTAATTTATTAATTGCAAATTGCAATAAATTATCTAGCGAGATGTTTTCTGGAATATTACCAGAATGCCGGATGAAAGCCAATTAGACAGAAGTAAAACGTTCGAATCTCAAAAGAAGATAGTAATTGAAAGAATAATTCCAACGATCAAACAACTCTTAGATCCTAATATTTACCCGATAAGCGAGAATGTTATATATCAAATTATAAAGAGGAGACATCAAAGCCAACGGAATACATACAGAATAAACAACAAGGATGAAGAAGAGAAAAAAAAAGAATTAAAAAGAAAACATAGAAATACACGTCGATCAGAGGTAAATTAGTATGCCGCCAGATTTAATTTATTTAATTTTGTTATATTTATATAATCTATATAGAAAAGGCGAAAGAGGACGAAAGTGATAAACAACCTAAAAAAGAGTAATGATCGCTTGCTGGACCAATTTAATTTTACTGAATTGGAACCTATTACCAAACAAAATTGTTATCACAGTCCAGAAGAGTCGGATGAAGATAATAATATTATCGTGAAAGACCTTACCTGGCGTTCGGACACTGTAAGTGAATTTGTTAAAATATGTAATATTTTAGACCAAGTGTGCTAATTCTTTTTATAAATAAGCTTCACAAGTTTCTACGAAACTATCTGGACAAGGATGCAAAAGAAGTAAAACGAGTTCGAACATATGGTGACCATATAGCAGACGAACGAAAACCCGTTGAGGCACCAAAATGGACACTTAAGGGATATAATGGTGAACTTAAAAGGGCTGTGTCAATTGCTTGTGACGAATAAGTTTTAACTTCACAAATAAATGTTTACATTTTCTGATGTAAAACAATAAGACCATTGTAATAACATAAATTTGCATTTTTCCATTCCAATAAATACGATAAATATCAAATGTGAATGCCAAATTTTGATGACATTTACCGATTATGTACAGCTTATGACAAAAAAAACTGGAATTAAATATTACTATGATGATCGTACCAAATTATAATAATGGGTTCCTTTGCTAAAGAAAATGAGGCTTCTCGGGTCGTTATGATTGGTTCGCAAAATTTGGGTTATATTATCAGGAATTATAAGTTAATTGAAAAGCATAAGAAATGGGAATTAAAAGCTTTTCTTGTTGTGCGGTGGAAAAAAAGAATCATATGCAAGTTTCAATTTTTTGATGGGGTATCAGCAATAATCCAACTTCTTGAATTTGAGAATTGAAAGCAATAATTCTGGTCGCATTAAAACTATAATTATTATCACATGATGTCGATCATCACTGATAAAAATAGATTGGCCGGTTTGTTTATTTATTTACTCAAAAACAAAATCTTTTTTTCCCATATAAACAAATTTGCGTCCAAACTTTCTCTGATAAATAATTTACTCTGAGTTTTGTAGTTTCGCAACAGCAAAGAGCTACAAATATTTCACAATAGGAATTATTTAAACTATTAGAAGTCTGATAATACCGACAAAACTATCTTGTATGAACCAAGAAATTGCACGAATGCCGTTACCAATAAAGTTAATCAGAAACCACGAGATAACCTAGACTTATTGGAAACCAGATAAATCCATAACAAATATAAAAAATGCTCTTATTATTGCCTATTAGTATTTAAGATTTTTTGGCGGTAAGAAAATATAGCTCATTCAATAGTTATTCCGTTCTTAATAATGAAATATAAGTTTCCATGACCAATTGTAATACTAATGACCACCTGAAAATTCACCATTATGGAAATTTATATATAACCAGTTACAAAAAATAACGCTAAGATGAAGAGGTTCCGATTTTTCATTTCTAATGAAATCTAAAGTGACTTGCATTTCAACGATCGGAATCAAGTGTATACCGATTTTGATGAACTTTCATTGCTAGTGGACACTCAAGGTTATGGTACTTCAGTGAAGATGCTTCTTCTGTACTCTAATTCTACTTGCTAATATTCTTTTTAACTAAATTTTCTTTTCTTTCGAACATATAAGGCTTATTTTCAGTTTTTTTTACTTTGTTTCATACTGTGAATTTTTATGTTTATTTTTCATCTGAATGGTAAACATATTTTTTATTTATTTTATGCAATTCTGCAACCAAACTATTTAGCTTGAATAACGTAAGTTTTCTCCAGATCCTATATACTTCAGCGTGAATTAATTAACAATTAATTTCATCTTTTTGACGTAATTTTATGTATTTTTACAGATTTAATTAGCCGAAATACCAAAATAGGTTTGGCGATCAGATGTTCAGATTTGATTGGAATCAGATCTTTTTTTTATTATTTATTAAAAAAAAATCATCTTTTTCAGTTTTTTTTAAACCATATTTCATTTATTTTTTAAAAAAAACTTTCTTTTTCGGTTTTCAACTGTTAAACCGATTTTCATTATAAAAAAAACTAATTTTTTATACAACCCAGACTATTGAATTACGGTATGTGAGTGGAGGAAGAGGGATAATACTTTTGTTTTTTTTTTTAAGAGAAACGTTTCTAACGCTTCTCTTTTTCTTTTTTGTAGAGTTGTCAAACGAATAATACAAGTTATACGACTGGACTTTGAATTTATGTAAGTGGGGGATAATTAATATTTATATTTTTTTAAGAGAAACGTTCTATTTCTCACGCTTCTCTTTTTCTTTTTTTGTAGTGTTGCCGGATGAATAATACGAGTTATATGACCGAACTTTGGAATTATTAAGGTAAAAGGGGACTGAGAGAGGGGTTTTTCGTTATATTTAATTTTTTAAGAAACATCACTAGATTTTTTATTTATTTCTCTGTAGGGTTGCCGGATGAATTTATGAACTGGACTTTAGGGTTAAGGTAAAAGGGGATTAGGAGAGGGAGTTCTGTAATATTCTTTGGAGAAATGTTACTAACGTTTCTTCTTTATTTCTTTGTAGGATGCCAGACGAATTGGCAATATGTCTGATATAACGGAATTCTGCCAAATTGCATTATGTCTGTCATAATGCATTACGGCTATCGAAAATTCGAAATGCATTACGGCTGTTATAGCAATCCAAGAATCTAATTCACGGAGAAGTATATGATCCTAATTCCAATACAACTTTTTTGGCGTTTGAGGGAGCATCAGATATAATCATTTTTATAAGATATTAAAACGATTTTTTTTTCAAATTGGCTCCTGCTTTTAGTGATTGGAAACAAACATGAAGAACTTTTTGAAGTATTACTTAGCTTTAATGATGTAAGTTTCACTCCTATTTTATTTCTAGCACAACTTTTATTAAGAGATTAATATGATATATTTTTCAAATCAGCCTCTGCTTTTGGCGATCGGAAACAAAGATGAATCTATTTCGATGGACTTTGAGGCTATTTAGTCTTAATGATGTAAGTCTCATTCTGATTACTAGTACAACCTTTTTTAAGAATATTAATATGATGCATATTCTCATTTTTTTTAAATCAGCTTCTACTTGTAGCGATCAGAAACAAGAATGTACCTATTTTGATGAACTTTTGAGGCGCTATTTGGTCTTAATGATGTAAGTTCCATTCCTTTCTAGCACTATTTTTTTTAAGAGAGATCAATATGATGCAAATTTCGTTTTTAACAAATCGGTTTCTACTTTTAGTGATCAGAACAAAAATGTTTATAAATTTTTGAGGAATATTAGTCTTAATGGTGTAAGTCTCATTCGATTTTTATTTCTAGCACTACCTTTTTAAGAGATTAATATGATGCATATTTTCATTTTTTCAAATCAGTCTCTGCTTTCGGCGATTGGAAACAAAAATATACTAATTTTTCATTTATGAAATTATAATAAGTGGTAGTAGATATTGAATATACTGTACATCACACAATATGATCATATATTTATATTGTAAATATTAATCTACCTGAATAATAAAATATATTTCAAATGTGATCATTTTAAATTTTTTTATAAACGTATAATAGTACAGGCCATAATTTATAAATAATTACACTATAAAATGTACATAATGTCGGCTATAATCAACTATTTAAATTAGCAAACAATCGGTCAACAATCGGTCAACAATCGGTCAACAATCGGTCAACAGTCGGTTAACAGTCGGTCAACAGACGGTCAACAATCGGTCAACAATCGGGTCAATGTCAGATTGATGTCAGATTGAAACAAGTAAAATCGGCTACCAATCAGGCATAAATCAGTTAACAACCTATCAATAATCTGTTAACAATCATGTGCATATCTGTCACCAATCGGTATATCATTCCGTCATCAATCGGACTGACCGGTTGGTGTCGGATTTTGGCGGAAATCGGATACCAATCAGGCAGCCCGATTGGTATCTGATTGAAGAAATCAGTTACCAATCAGGCACAAATCGGATACCCGATTGATGACGGATTGATGACCGATTTGACATTATTCGACCTGTGCAACTTCTATAGATATAATAATATACTAATAATTAAAAGAATCAAATCATTTAATTTTCTAATAATATTTAAAATAAATTATATCTAATTAAAAAAAAGAATAAAACTAAAATAAAATCAATGGCCTATTTATACATGCTGCCCAAATTATTTTGGGATGCCATAATTATAATTTGGGATGTCGTAATTCATTCAATTTATATATAATTTACTATGTAAAGTGCCAAAATAATTTGGGATGTCATAATTGAATTTGGGATTTTACTTATAATTACGGCAGCCCAAAATAATTTGGGTGGCATGTATAGGCCTATTAATAAAATAATTTTTCAATTGCTAAATTGCATATGTAATGTACTAATAATTAAAGAATCTAATTTTTTGACAATTTTTAAAATAATTTGCATCTAATAATAAAAAAAATATTTTAATTAATAAAATAATTTTAAATACCAAATTATATTAAATACCAATATGTTTATGTAACTTTCACATATATATATTTAATTTACTACTAAATACTAGGTATATTTATATATGTAACTTCCACATATATTTAATATACTAATAATTGAAAGATCTAATTTTTTGGCAATTTTAAAAATAAAAAAACCAAAAAGTCAATATTTTTTCAATAACCCAATTTTTTAAATGCCAAATAGCATTAAATAAATAGTATATTTATAT